GTCCTCCATCTTTCTCCGTACACATATTGTCATTTATTCCATGTATCTATATCTCCTTTTTTTCTCCTGTCTTTTACACATACACACACACACACACACACACACACTGCTCTATTTTTAGTGTGGGGTTGTATTTGAAGGTAGAGTTGTGTCGACCCCTTGTCTCACCCCAGATCCAGGCCTTACAAGGATCCCTTGGCAGACACGGTTGCTAAGCAGCCAGCCTTGTTTGCATCTAAGCTGTGAAGGTCCAGCTCAGCGCACCTGCCCTTCATCATTCTAATTATCACGCTCGCCATCCCCAATCATCCTTCGTATCATCATCTTTTTATCACGGCTTGCTGCCTGCTAATGCACGTGAAGTAAAGTTATAACTCATGTCTGGTCAGAGTGAAGACATGTCAAAAGTAAACGGACATCTTTTCTTGATTAAAAATACAGATATTCAAGTGAAAAAACGTACTCTGGTGAAGATAGAAGAACTGATTCAACTTGTTATTTAAAGGTAAAAGTTTAAAATAGTGTTCTAATATTATGACTGTAATAGTTTCCCTCTGAGGTACATTTCTACCTGCTGTTTAAATGATCATAATTAATACATTTTTATCACAATTAAAGCATAGTTACCCCTCAAATTTATTTTCAACAATTATGTTCACATTTGTCTATGTGTTGATTTCCTTGATTTACCGGTAATATTGTGTTGCTTGGCCCCCTAGACTTGACTAGGGCTCTCTTAAAAAAAAATAAACCCCCATGTCACAATGAGCTGACCTGACGAAGGTAAGTAAGGTAAGGTCATTCACTTAAGAAGTGAAAGGTGCAGATATTAGTTGTAAAATGAAGAGGGTAACAGTTCACACCATATTACTGCAAGTCACTATCTGTAAATCTTAGTTATGAACATCATATTTTCCTGGGATCTCCTGAGCTTTCGTGTCTCATAGGTTCCTCTGGATCGTTTGACCCCCCCCCCCCTCTATTCTTTATCCTTCATCTTATCCCATCTCCCCCTATCCCATTTTTCAAGCCCTGCACAGTTTCAGCATGTTCATCATGAGTCTGGTTATGCCCAAGATGTCTGCCTCTTAAAATGAAGTTTTTCTTGCCACTGTAACTTTCCTAAATGTTGCTAATAGTGCTCATGATGGATTACCAATCAACACTGGGTCTTTGGGCTAAAGCGAGTATTGTCATTTACCTGCATTTGTTATGAATTGACTCTGTTTAACTATAGATAGATTGATTGAACAGTACAACACTGAAAAAGTAATTATTAAATGAATAAGAGAAATATGGAAACCCCTTTTGCTGCAGCAAAACAGAAAACAGATTCAACACTCTAAAACCTGACGTCTGTTGAAATTTGTATTAACTGCTGATCATTAGATTTATACCCTCCTATGTTTTATTTTATGTATTTCTTTGTTTTCCTCTTTGTCGACCTCTAGCGTACATGTTTGTTTGTGAATGTACGATCGTAATATTGTCAATGTTTACAATAAAGTTTAAAAAAAAGTAGAGTGTCCTTAAAATGTCTCTTTGTCTAGTTTTATTTAATGTAATGTAAAAAAAATACTCATCAGATATGAAATGAAAAACTAAAGACATATCTGCTATCACTGGTGAAGTGGATTTATCTTGTTTCCATGGCAACAGCACTGAGCAACTCTGCTAGTTAGCTAGCAGCTGCTAGCTGATGTAGCTAACAAGCCCGTTGGTTGGCCCGAGCCTCAGCACACAGCAAATAAACCTTACTTTGAGGTGAAGTAGGTGACTTACAGAATAAAGAAGCTCCTTCAGACTTCCCTCATCGTCTTCATTGTCCTCCATGTTCGGCACCATGATCTCAACCGCCATGTTAGCATTTAGCATCCTCATCGCTGTAATCCTCTCTTCCTGTTTTATTAACGATTTAGCGACAACAACAGAAAAGCGGCCGTTAATAAGCTCATAAACTTTAAACACAAATATTTATTCTACTTCAAACACTGGGGTGACGGTTGACACCTTACTTGACGCAGGTCGACCACAAGTTCTTCTAGACTGACGTATGACGTCACGAGAAATGAGAGGAATCAACCAATCAAATCGCAGAACGAGCAGCCAAGGTTAACGGTCACTCACTTTACTTTTTTTGTATTATCATTTATTATATCCATATGTTTATAGAATTATTATTCGATATATGAATTTATTCAATTGTATTTATCAATTTATTTCATATTTTAGATTTATTTGTATTAGCTTTTTTCATTATTTTATTGGATTTTTTTAATGATTCACATATATTATATAGTTTACTATAGTAAAAATATGATATAAATTATTTTTGTATACTTTTGTATTATTTTTTTGCTTGTTTGTTTTACTTTTACTTTGAAAGTGAGTTATTCCCCGCTCTTCCTGTGCTAAGCTAAGGTAACTGGCTAATGCAGTGATATTGAGTTTACCCTCTCAAGAACATCTATAGAATAATGGGGAACTTTTATTTAACAATAATTTATAAGAAAGTAGTCTAGGTGCAATCATTCTATAGGAGTTGGTATTATATGAACATTTTAATATAATAAGATTAATTATAATTATTTGCATTACAAAGGTGCATATTAAAGAATCTTTTATGTCATCTAATTTGTTTAATTATTATTTAAACATGCAGCTTTGAAGAAATGATTCTAATAACCCAGCTGTAGATAAATTAAGATTCTTATATAGCCATTTATTATAGAACTAATATTAATAAGTATTATTGTAATCCTCCTATTCTGGGACCTCATTTCCCCCTGATGTCTGTTAACGTCACAGGGCCTAGTTATGTTAATGATGCTGTGAGGTGGGTTAGGGTAACACATTGATGTGTGTGACAGCGAGCTGTGAAGATGAAGGAGCGGAAAGGTCGGGGTCATTAGACGGAGACAGCTGCTGGAGACACAGTGACAAGTTGGAGGGCAGAAGAGGAGCTCAGACTCTCTGATGATGATGATGATCCACTTCTGTGAGACCTGAGGAAAATAAAATCATCAACGCAGTCTGGAGACAGGACCAGGACGAGCTGAAAAATGTGACAGGAAATTACTGTAAGGGTGAAGATGGGTGATTTGCTTTAAATAAATGAGGCCAGAAGTGTTACAAAAGGCCTACAGCTCATGTGCAATATATATTTATGCTTCTCATCCATATGTAGGCTACTTCTCTGTTTACATGTGGATAGAGACAGAAGAACAAACAAACTCCACACAGAGAGGCTCCTGTAAGACGGGGATTTGAACCAGGAACCCCCTCACTGTGAGGTGACAGCGTTAATCACTGAACCACCGTGCAGCCCTTGGTGCTCATGTTCATACACTTGCTGCAATCTTTGATAAAAGGCTTTGAGATATTCTGCCACAGGGGGGCGCTATATGTTAAATATTCTTCACAACACAAGTGAATAAAAGACATCAGTTCATATTGTTGAGAGGTTTTATTACAGTATAGAAAATGTCTTACTGCTTACACAAGCTAAAAAAAAACATTTCAAATACTTCATTCATCTTGAAAAAAAAAGTCACTATTCCTTGACAAATGCACGAAGGCTAAAGAAGCAGAGTTTCATAACCTCAAAGAATCTTTAACACGTTTTTTAAGACGTTGATAGAAATGTGTAAAAATCTCACAGGAGCAATAAAAATATTCTGTAGGGTCGTCACAGAGAGCGTGGAAACACGAGGAGGACGGTATAAATTATGTCTGATAGACTGAAGTTCACATTTAAGAAGAGTTGATATCTTGTGTTGAAACGAGGTGAAGGTAAATAGTGGGGGGGGATTCATTACAGAGTGGAGAGTAAAAATATACATGACATATGATATATACAATAAAGGAGAATCCATTTTATACACAGTTCTTTCCAGTTTAAAGCCAACAGAGATGTTTCAAAGACGTCATGTTGTTAAGGAAAGCAAAGACGCTGCTCTGGGGATCAGAAACGGTTTGAAATATCACAGAAATAACTCTGACGTGGGGCGCCGGTAGCCTAGTGGTTAGTGTGCGCGCCCCATGTACGGAGGCTGTGGTCCTCCAAGCGGGGGGCACAGGTTCAAATCTGACCCGTGGTTCCTTTCCCGCATTTCATCCCCTGCTCTCCCTCCTCCTGATTTCTGACTCTGTCCACTATCCTGTCTTGAAAAATAAAACCATTAAAAGCCTAAAAAAAAGAAATCTTTAAAAGAGAGATAGCTTTGATGTGCAGAGAACGGCCGAGCGTGCAGTTCCTCTGACTGCCTCCATCTTCAGATCACAGGTTTATTATTTCATTATCTCAGGAGAACAAAGCTTAGATTAAGTTTATGACAGATCATGAAGTCTTCATCACAGATAACAATAAAATAAGAATTGAAAGCTCCAACTGAGTCCTGTTTAACCTGCTGTTGATGAGGTACATGACCTTAGAGTGAATATAACTTAAACGTCAACAACAACATTCAGACTAAACGATGGCTGATTGTCAGGCTGGTTTATCTTCTTCTTCTCGTTGTTTTAGAGACGTCATAAAGTTTTAAATGTTAAAATAAAGAGAGGGAGAAGAGGGTTCATTAAAGTCCTCCATGTTTCCACAGCAGGGTCTGTCAGGGTCCACACACACACACACACACACACACACACACACACACACACACACACACACACACACACTGGTCCACTTCTCCGTCATTGACTCTGACTCTCGCTCTTGTTAGTAGCACATTGAACATAAACAGTAAAATATCTGAGTTAAAAATAAAATGAGGAGTAAAATAAAGAAGACTTATTTTACAGAATGGCTTTGATTCTTTCTGCGGCCGAAAGTGAAAACGCTGTTTTAGTGTCACGACTATAAAAAAAAGTCTTTCTGATGGAGGGTAAGCTATAAAACATGAGCGTGTGTGTGTGTGCGTGCGTGTGTGTCTTTGTTTTGTGTGTGTGTGTGTGTGTGTGTGTGTGTGTGTGTGTCTTTGTTTTTGTGTGCGTGTGTGTCTTTGTTTTTGTGTGTGTGTGTGTGTGTGTGTGTGTGTGTGTGTGTGTCTCTGTTTTTGTGTGCGTGTGTGTATGTGTGAGCTGAGGTGTCCTATAGGTTGCTGAAGAGTTCGTTCTTCTTGGTCCAGTCCATGGGCGGGGCTCTCTTGTTGGAGCGTTTCTGGTGGGCGAGCTCTTTGACCTGCTGCAGCGACAGGTTCAGAGCCGGGATGGCGTCCGCGATCAAACCCTGAAACAAACAAAACGTACATCAACTTCTTCATGTGATGAATTTAACATACATTAATATTTTTGTGTCTTTATTGTGGGGACAGAGAGAGAGAGGGGGGAATGGCATGCAGGAAGGAAACACAGGACGGAATCGAACCCAGGCCGTACGCTTGGCGCATTATAGTCGCCGTACATGGGGCGTGTGCACTAACCACCCCCCGTCATTTCATATTTTGTGTGCCTGAAAAGCAGCTCCCAGCTCTCGTCTGTTTGGAGTCTGCCGTTTTTACTTTCTTCACATCACGCTGAAATATGGCTGAACTTCATGCAACGACATGCAATGACATGAAAGAACATTTCCTGTGACGTACCTCCGGCGGGGTGTTTGTGGGCGGGGTCGTGAACGAGGCGTTGGACGAAGCGTTGGATGGAGACGGACTGATGGACAACTTAGAGTCTCTCTCCGCCTCTTTGGCCCCTCGACCGTTCACCTGAGGACACAAACACCTATCAGCATCACTTCAAAACATGAAGATGATTTTGACTTCATAAACATCTGCAAAGGAGGCACAGTTCACCATTTGTGATTATATTACAATACCAGACTTCACCACAAGGGGTCAGCATTGGATTTAAGTTATTAATTTTATATAGAGAACAAGTTAGAAGGCCCAGGTTTGGTTTGGTAACTAATGTCTCTCTATCATGTCAGTTTAAGAAAATAAAAATATATCAATTAAATTCAAAGTCTGACCAATTAATGAAGAACTCTTAGTTTGAATATCTTTAATTTTACTGAAATGTGATGAGGGCAAAACTTCCTGGAGAATTTGATTCAGAAAGACTGAAATGTGTTTTTGCAGGGCTGCAGGACGATGCGTTCAAGTGTCTCCAGCTCACTGAACATGAACCAGTTAAAGATACAAACGACTCATTTTTAACTCACTGCAGCCCCCCTCCCTTTAAAGACGACTTCTCCCTGACTTATGCGACCCCCCCCCCAGCCTGTTATGCAACAATAAGCGGAACATGTAACTTCTCTGCCGCACATACAGTCCCTGAGTAACGGGAAGCTCGGGTCAGGCCTCCATTTGCATATCTGGCTGAACGCCTGAGAGGAAGGCAGCCTCGGTCGGTACAGGAGTTCACTAGAGTTTATTTTTGTATTTGTGTTCACATGCAGATCTGAAAATATACGTTCCTTAGCAATATTCATAAAAAGTATGGGGAAGTATGCTGGTATCCTGGGAGACCCTCAAAAAGCATAAATAAATTGTGTTCTGCAGAGAAGAAGATGAACTTCTGATAAGTCTTCGTTGTGATCGTTATGAAGGGAAATTGTTTAATCAATTCTTTCTTTGCTGTTTTTTTGGTTATCTGTTCAAATAAAGTTTGAAACAAACAAACGCTGTAGTTTACGGGGGCGTTGGTGCTGAAATACTTCTTGGCTTGAAGCAGTCACTTCTTGGGGCATCCACTGGTTGCCTGGCAACAGCTCAGAGCCAAGAAAATAATCTGGCACATAAATCCCTCAAAACACGGTCATTAGTAGTTTTCAAGATGTGAATTTTCACCTCCTGTCGTCGACTCTCTAAAAGCAGCGTCTGTGACACTAAAAACAAACACATTAACCGTGTGTGTGTGTGTTTGTTTTTCTTCTGTGTACGTTCATGAAGCACAAATTAAAGCTTCCAGGTCAATCGCTATCGTAGAGTCGAACTGCTTTGTTCAAGGGATTCATATCCTGTAAGCATAGCTTCTCTCATTTCAAAGAGACAATAGATTTATAAAAGTAGAGCAACACATTTCAAGTTAAATCAACAGATTAACTGATTTTTAGAGCTCGTATCAAACGTGTTCCTAGCAGATGATAGTGTTAAACGATTAGATAAGGAAGTTAGCTAATCATGCTAACTAGCTAAAGCAGCTGCTTTTTTTCACCACTTTTTGAAGGTCTCGTCTCGCAATTGTAAGCATTTTTACTCGGTCTTGTCTTGGTCTCAAATTGGGTGGATTGAGTATTTATGGTCTTGGTCTTGGTCTTGGTCTTGGTCTTGGTCTTGGTCTTGGTCTTGGTTAGAGTGGTCTTGCCTGCAACACTTCTTGATGAAGAAGAAGTGGTTTCTTTCTTTGTTCATTCAACATGAAGTTTTAATAAACCCGTTAAACATTCTTCTACTCTGCTTCACTTTATCTTCAGCCTGATTTCAGTTCTCTGTAAACACGAGGCGTCCTGAATGACTTCTTATAGCGCAGAGTTAATGGAGTGCCGGCTGGGTGCGGCTCTCCACACAGCTCAAACACAATGAACATTCAGACAATAACAGGAAGATCCGCTCGCTGCACGTCTGTGATTAATAACTCACTTCATCAGAGTCTGTGCTCTCTGAAGTTACAGACCCCCCCGCCTGACACTTTAAAGACGGTCTGACCTGCAGCGGGCGCTGTCTGTCTGCACTGAGTTTAGATGTTTTCATTGTTCTCTGAAGGGAAGGAGAAGTTCCATCACTGAGGAGAAGTCACACAGCTTCTCCACACGGCTTTACTCTTCATCAGATCTCCATGTTGTAACCAAAGCTCTGCACCTATTTCAGTTTCATCACTGATAAAAAAGCAGTCCTTGAAGGAGCAGTGTTTGAAGCAGAGCGATCATGTGACCCATTTTCTTAGTTTGAGTTAATCTCCTGGCCTCAGCGGGGGGACGCACTGTGCTCGCTGCTGCAGCTTTCTTAAATAGACTTTTTAAGGTAATCCCGTGAAGGAGAATTAGAAGAGACTTTATAACCAGAAATATAAAACTGAGTAAGTTTTTCAGACACTTTCTGAGTTAATCAAACACATCTGACTGTAGGTAAAAGCACTCAGAGGAGGAACAGAACAAGAAAAACATTCGATATCTTTCTTTTCCATCCCAAACACTGTAGCATCCTCTTTCATTCATTTCAGATCTGTACATGATTGACAGTAATGATGTGGACAAGTAGTCTGTCATGGTGGTCTTGACCGGTCTTAATTTAAAATCCAGAGTCCACCCACTCTGAGACCGAGAGGAGACCTTTAAACAAACTGATTTTGATTTCTACACTAACACAAGCACACAGGCTGAAAAAAAAACAGTCTACTTTTTAAATATGGCTGAAACCATACTTAAGCCATTTTCACACATTCTCTCCTGCTCCTGAAAGACGCTAACAGATAACCGAAGAACACACAAAGCGTGCAGCGATCACAAGGAATAAAGGTCACCACCCCCTCCCACTGGCTCCAGGTGAATTCTCCTGATTATATCCTGCTGCGTTCTCACATCAGCTCACTCTGACTTTCTGCAGAATAAATACGAGGAGGCTGGAGGAGAAACATTCACACATGCAGCTCACCCTGAGAACTTTTTGTTTAAGTGTTGAAAGCACTATAACACCAAGTTAAATAGGCCTACCCTTTAATATTTGACAGTCAAAAGTAAGCTGGTTCAAGGCGGTCTCTTACCTTCTCCTCCATCCCTCCATTGACGACAGGTTCAGGCAGCGGACCTGCAGACAGAAAAACAACACAAGAATCAGACATTTGACTAAATCTAACAAATTGAGAGTCTGTGCCCGTCTGTCAGGACTTCTGTCTGTTCATGATGCGTTGTTCAGCCCAGAGCTCCACTCGGAGGGATCAACATTCAGATCACCTTTCATCCCACGACTCGTACTCTGTTACACAGCACAGGTATGAGCAGGTTATCTATTATTCACACCTGCTTCATCTTCACTGTGATGGAGCTCCTCATGGTCCTCACACACATCCACAGACCCTCTTTACTGGAGCAATTAGGTTTAACACACATGTCATCATCCCAGAGGTCACACACACACACACACACACACACACACCCACACCCACCCACACACACACACACACACACACCTTACCTTCCATCCTCTGATCCTCCACACACACCGAAAAGAGTTATTTAGCCAACGATGATTAATACAAGAGTTAGCAGCTGCTCCTTCAGAGTTAATCTGAAACACAAGTCTTCCTCAGGTGGTTGCTGAGTGTGTGTGTGTGTGTGTCCCTCACTCTGAAGAGCAGAGCCTCTTCAAGTCCTAATACAGCTCCAGCTCCGAGCTGAGAGGCCACTTGGACCCGAGCGCCTTGGAAACCAAACAAAGCTGCTGTGTGTGTGTGTGTGTGTGTGTGTGTGTGTGTGTGTGTGTGTGTGTGTGTGTGTGTGTGTGTGTTGAAGTTAAGAGTCGGTGAAGGCAGGTGTCCTCTGAGTGGGCAGCATGTGAAGCGTTACCTGGGAAACGTCTCGCTGGAATCTCTCCTCTGAATGTTTTTTTTAATCCGGACTAAACAGTGAAGAGTCTAAAATCATCAAACATCTGCCTCTCGCTCTGTGGTGATAATTCAGTTACCTATTTAATGTTCATTTATCATATTTCACCAGCAGTGAGATGCTGTCTTTAAAGTTTGTTGCTCAAGTATTCATCTATTCATCTGTTCTTAACAATAGTTTCAAAGTCACACGGGACATTTTACTGCAGAACAAATACGATAACTTTCAAACTTATTGTGGGACTTTGAGTCGTAATGGTGCAGATCTACATTTTTGTATTTGGACTTTTACTCGAGTAAAAGATCTGCATACTGTCTCTAACAATCAATAATGCTCCATTATAACATTAACACGTGTGATACATCTCTCCTCCTGTGTGTCTGATAAAAGTTAACAGAGGCCGTCTTTATTGAAGTGGTCTCGTGATTCACTTATGACAGCCGTGCACCTTTCCTGAGATCTGTTATCTGTGTGGGTATGGCCCCAAACACAGAGACCTAAAGATGACACGCTGTAACAGGGCGCCCTCTAGAGGCGATGGCAGGTAATCCAGGACCTAAGTCAGGGTCAAAGTGCTCACGAGTAAAGCACTGAATCTGTACCAGCTTCAAACTGAAGTGACCCTGTTTGACCTCTTCAGAGAGATGAAAGGTAGAAAGATGTTTTATATCTCATTTCTCTCTTTTCTTTATGTTCTACTCTATTCACACATCTTAGTTTAATGAAACGAGCAGGGGAACTCATTTGCCACCTGGTTAATTCATGCACGCGCTAAACATTATTGACAGTCCAATCACAAAAACTGTTTTTATCATCCACGCAGATTCTGCCCCCCCCCCCCTCCCCCAGCACAGCGTAAACAAGGACACTAGCCAAGATTACCTGATAAAATGTAAAATGATCTAAGTTTCTTTAAAGGCTTTATATTTCACACTTAAATGTAATAGAAATCAAGTATATCCTCTGAAAATAACTCTGTGAGTCATGACTGTCTACAATGGGTGTAACACCCGAGTCCCACTGTCTGTGATGTTTTCAGAGTTTTCAGAGTCCTATCTTCACTTTGTTTACATCGCCGGGTACTGTACTCACTGCTTAACTGTGTTTCTAGATCACGCTCATTTCAGGTAAATTTACATGCAGTGTGAAGATACGAGCATAATAAAGATCGCTAGCATGAGCATGCTAACACAACAAGTTGTTTTGGTTTCATGCTGGAGCTCAAGGGCGACATCTGCTGGATCAAAAAATCACATATAAAGCCTTTAAGAAGGCGAGTCTTGACTGAGCCTTCTTGACATCATGTCTATAACTGCTGCTGACAATGAACCTTCAAACATGATGAGCTCATGACCGCCCCTCATCTCTCTCCCCGCTCCTCCTCCCTCCGCCCCTCCTCTCTCCGCCCCTCCCTGACAGCAGCAGCAGTAAAGTAAATCACTTGTTCTGCCTGTATTTGTCTTGTCTGTGCGCTCTCACCCGTCAGGTGGTCCGAGGCGGGGGTCACCCGGCATCTCTTGAAGAAGGCGTCTGTGTCGGGGTCCACCACCAGCAGACGGACCACGTTCCCGCCCACTTTAATTGCCGCTACGACTTCTGAATGCGTCTTTCCTTCCACCGACACACCGTTCACCTGAGGGGAGAAGATCATGTTAGAATTTTTGGTTATTGTTGATTTCAAAGCCCGAGCCACCCAAGCCCTTCCAGAGAGGGGGCGTGGTCAGACACAGCTCATTTACATATTTAAAGGTACAGACACAGAAACAGCCTGTTCTGAGCAGGGCTGAAATAGAGGGGTTTATAGACATGATCAAATACAGGATCAGAGTGGATTTAGAACATGAAACTTCACACACATGTTTTGAGGAGCTCTGAGACTTATTTAAACTGAAGAAGAGGAGAATGATATGTGACCTTTAAATTCTCTCTTTTCTTTGTATGGCCGGCCTGTTGTGAGTTAAAAAAATTAAGAATCGTATCATTTAAAAGGTTCTAGATGAATTTAGTCTGCAGACCTTGATTGTATTTTTGTCTTTGTTCCCACAGAAGTGAAATCACTGGCGGGTTTCTTTTCTCTCAATATTATCACTTAGTCTGCCCCGAGGCTCGTAGGGCAGGAAATCCTCAGTGTCCACACAAAAATATGCACGTAAGCACACACACACACACACACACACATTCTTTCAGCCCCTTATGTACAAAGCAGTCACCACAATCAGCTGGACATTCTCCTGGCCCTGAAACATGATGTTTTTTTAAATGTATTCGGTCGTTAATCCCTCAGATTTATCCTCTTGTTGTGTTTTTTAATGTGTGACAGCTGAACTCTGCAGCTCACAAACTCCACATCAGGCAGCTCCTGCAGCACCAGCTGAGTGTTGTGGGAGAAAATCACCATGGGAAAGCATGTGAGAAATGTCTCCAAGGGTGTGTGTGTGTGTGTGTGTGTGTGTGTGTGTGTGTGTGTGTGTGTGTGTGTGTGTCTGTGTGTGTGTCTGTGTGTGTGCTTAGGTCATAGGGTGGACCTGCAGGTCTTAGCCAGTCCCTGAGAGGAAGCCAGACAATAGCTGCCTGGCAGTAAGAGCGGTAACAATGGCTGTCCGCTCCCCACAGAGCCCCGCTCCTTAGTGGGTGGTGGGTCTGTCTGGGGGCCTCAGGGGGACTGTAACCCCTCGCCAGACCCAAACCCTGCCCTCTCTCTCTCTCTCTCCTCTGAGTTCTCCTTTACATTTAAACAAGTTGGGAACTTATAAAGTACAAAAAGTGATACCGTACTAAAGTGGAGTTTTTAGGTAGCTGTGCTTTATTTTGATTTATCTTATTTTGACAACTTTGAACTTTTACCTCAAATATCTGCACTTTATACTCCTTACATCAACACATTTAAGTGGAATTATCCACTTTTTTTTTTTATTTGGCATCATTGCATGTTCCAGACATTCCAGACATCAGGACTGATTTCAACAGAGATGGATATTAAATTTAATTTCCCTGTATTTCCATCAGGTCATATCACAGAGGACAGATGAACTTGAGCTTGTGTAACACTTTTCTAGTTGTCTAACTACTGGAAATGCTTTTACACTGCAGGTCACACCTACACATTCACACACTGATGGTAGAGGCTGCTGTCCATCAGAGGTAACGCATCCCATTCATAGACATAAATACACTGCAGGTGAAGCAGCAGGAGCAATTTGGGGTTGAGTGTCTTGCTCAGGGACACATCGGATATGTAGCTGCAGGCGCTGGGGATCGAACCCCCGACCTTCTGGAGAGGAGACGACCAACTCTACCAACTGAGCCACAGCCACCCGTGAAGAAAACTGAGTAAAAGACATATGAAGATGAACAGACGTTAAGGGAAACTGGAGCGTGGACAAGAGATATATGAGGTTAGCTTCAGTTAGCTTAGCACAAAATCAGACGGTAGAAATGTCCTTCAGAAGGACTGTGAGGACTTATCAGAACCTGAAGTGACCTCATACTGCAGGAAACACCTTACAGAACATTTATTTACACCTTCTACCTGAGTCAAAAAAGTGTGCACTGCTGCTTTGTCCTCTTCAGGAAAAGTTACTGATTAGAGTAACACAAAAATAGCACATCCTGTCTGCCATGTTTCCACTCCAGACCGCCTGCAGTCATTTCTTATTAAGATAAAAATAACCAACAATTGAGTTTTTGTGTGTACACATGTCGTCGTCGAACGCCTTGAAGAATGAACCGTGTATTGTAAGGGACACTTTCAGGCTTGGGCTCGTTTCAGTGAAGTGTTTGTAAATCATCAGAATATTTCCTCGACCACAGGAGAATCATTATGTGACTTCTCAGACGGTATGAAAGTCAGGGCCAGCCCTCGTGGTCAGCTCTCTTTTCCCAACGTTAACTGAGCGTTCAGAGGAATGTGCTCGCTGTGTGAGGTCCTAAATCCTCTGTGGACTCTGGTGTGACTGTCACTGTATCGGCCTCCTCACACACACAGCGTCTTAACGGGTCTGAGGTCTGACAGATAGAGAGAGAGAGAGAGAGTGTGTGTGTGTGTGTGTGTGTGTGTGTGTGTGTGTGTGTGTGTGTGTGTGTGTGTGTGTGTGTGTGTGTGTGTTTGTGTGTGAGGAAGATAACTAACGATGAAAGTCTCTGTGTGCTATACATGTACTCTAATCAGAACGGGAACGTGTTAAATAACAAAACGAGCCTGACTACATTCACTCCTTGAGGGTTGCAGAAGCGTGCACGTTCTCATCTCATGTAGAAGAAGTATGGAAATGTGTGTAAAAGTAGAAAGTAGTGGGGCGCAGGTGGACCAGTGGTTAGTGTGCATGCCCCATTTATGGAGGCATGCGGCCCAGGTTCAAATCCAGCCTGTGGCTCCTTTCCTGCATGTCATTCCCAACTCTATCCACTGTCCTGTCTCTACAATAAAGGCACAAAAATAAATCTTTAAAGTAAAAGTAGTGCGGTACGTTGTGTCCTGAAGTGAAAGTGTTGCAGCTGCAGCTCTGAAATGTCCCCGCTTGTCTCTGTGTGCAAAGTTTACAGAAGCTCAGCTCACATTTAGAGAAACTGGAATCATTCCGACTTCAAATCAAAGAACGACAGAGTGAAAGAAATGACTTTGCTCAAAAGCGTTAATCGGTCTCTCTGCTCTGAATCTGCTGCTTGTCATATGTCGGCCATATTGGATGCTTCACTTTCATCCACGTGGCTCAGCGCTCTCCCTGTCGCTCACAGGTATCACATTCATCAGACGTCTCAGTTTCTCTCTTTTGCCGATCTTCATTTTAAAGCTGCTGGCCCTGTTACACTTCTTGTCTGTTGTTTGCACTGATGGATAATACACCAAAGAATCGTCCTTTTTGAGAGCGCCCTTTACATTGCCAGTTCAACACGGGACCATCACATCTCTGTTAAGCCTCCGTCGATGTAAACGTCATAGAGGGACTAAAGTCGACCCACTGCTGAGCCGGCGTCAGAGGCAGTAACAGGACAAACACATTGACAACCTTTCAGCAGCAAATTGTTGTGTAATTGAGGGACTAGAGAAAAGAAGAATAACATACTGTACTCACTGCTTAACTGTGTTTCTAGATCACGCTCATTCACGTAAATTTACATGCCGTGTGAAGATACGAGCGCAATAAAGATCGCTAGCATTAGCATGCTAACACAACAATGCAGCGTGAGTTGTTTTGGTTTCATGCTGGTGCTCAAGGGCGACACCTGCTGGATCAAAACATTGCATATAAAGCCTTTAAAATAACAGATTTTATCATTTTTTTATCCTACATTTTTGGGGAGCAGTTCGGTTGTGTCCTATATACAGATGATATGGACCTCCAATCAGGTGGCCCGGGTTCAAGTCCCACCTGTGGCTCCTCCTGCATGTCATTCCCCTCTATCTGTCTCTCTCCAGTTTTATACTTTATCAACCGTCCTATCAAATGAAGGCAAAAAGCCCCAAAAAATTATCTTTAAAAAAAGAACATTTTGACAACCTTTTTTTGACAATTATTCTTTCTTGGACTGACCGCCGTACCTGAACTATCCTGTCTGCAGGCAGAAGGCCGGCCCGCTCTGCTGGAGAGTCTTCATCCACAGCTCGGATGTACTGACCCGGCCGTGCCCGCTCGCTGTGCAGGTTGAAGCCATACCCGTTGGACCCCCGCTGGATCACGCAGAGACGAGGCCGCAGCTCGGGGCTCTCCTCCTGGGACAGGAAACAGAGGATGTTAATACACCTGATGTTGCATGCATCTCAAAACAGAAACAAACAGCTTTTTAAATCTACCTCCACCATGGGCGAGTGTTCGGAGAGAACGAGAGGCACAAAGATGACAGAGAGCTCCTGCGAGTCGTTAACCATGAATATGAAGCCGAGGTTGAACATGCAGGTGTCTGCTGCATGCTGATGTGTTGTGTTCTGGGATTATTTAACAATCAGGAGTAAACTGAAGCTGCTTTCAGCTCCAGGAAGGAAGGGGCTCTCCAAGGCGTTTGATTGGAGCGCTGCAGGCTGGGGAGGATTTATTTGGAGAATTCAGGGAGGGAGGTGCAGGGCCTTGTCGCTGTGAGGAAGGGACCGGTTCCGGTGTGGCCAGCAGCCCTGCCCGCTCCAGACCCCTCGAGGAAGACAATGGGAGCTGGGCGTTGACCTCTGACCGCCTCTTGCTCGCTCTAAGATGGCAGGAAGAGTTAGAGCTGTATTGTCATCCAGGAAAAAACTGGAGCTCGGGCTCTGAACCTCCCTTCCGCTGTATGGATGAAGCACTTTCTTTATTTAGCTTTAACGTCCCTGTCATCACAGAGGCTAAAACATGAGGACAGAGAAAATCCAGGAGAGACAGGCGCTGGTCAGGGTAATCTTTGTCATTGTGACCGGGTCTGACACGACACCCACCCCCGACATCAGAGACGCTCTGAGCCCCCGCCCGCCATAAAACGCACGCTACAAGACAATGAACAAACTATAAATAAATCAGAGTGAGTCACTTTGTGAGAAAACACAAGCAGGAGGGTGATTGAATGAAGCAAATTAAACACATCAGAGGACATAAATAAACTGAGCACGTTTAAGTGACTCTTACTCAACATCTCTCCAGAGTCACTTCACTGGATTACGTAAGACGATTGTTCTGAGCTAACACTCATCCACCCTATTTTTTTACTCAAGAAAAGCACCTGAAGGTTTTCTGACACCTTTGGTCCCTTTCCAGGAAGAACAGAAAGGATGAATGTTAAGATTAAACTAGCCAATAGCGCAAAAACACAAAAACTGCAGTTCCTCCAGTGTCCACTAGAGTCTGTCTCCTGCAGTGAGTCAGACCCCATAGAGCCCCATGTTAAAATGTCCAACTTTCCAGCTGCAGTTCCTCCAGTGTCCACTAGAGTCTGTCTCCTGCAGTGAGTCAGTCTCCATAGAGCCCCATGTTAAAATAAACATGTTTACATCCTGGTACAAAAACAGTTTGGGTCTCTAGATCTCATTTCTCTCTTTAACTCTACGGGCTGAATGTTTATACAACTCACCTGTTTACATTATATTAAGGTTTAAAGTGATGTAGAATTAGGGGGCGTGGCCTCTTTGAGTGACAGGTCGGAGCTGCTAGCTGTCTGCTAGGTGTCTCCTCAGCTGATTCAGTCCCTGACCTTTAACCTCTGGGCCTTGTTTGTGCTGTTGGAGCCTTTTGGAGATTTGTTCCTGTAAATATCAGACTAATAATCTGCCTCTCTGTGAGCTCCACTTTTTACAACCAGTCAAATTAGAGCATTATTTTATTTACATGTTAGCAACAATTAGCAGCTAATCTGAGTCTGTGAGAACGAAACCTGGATTGTTAGCTCGTTCAGTGTTTGTCATAAGTTTATTTATTCGTGTTGCCCTCTACATGATGGGGGTCCGAATTCTTGCAGAGAAGAAGCGGACCGTAGTGATGAGACAATCAGTGATGCTGATTGGTCTTCTTTGTTCTCGCACTCTCTGATCCTGCTGATACGATGTGCTCCTGTTAAGAGCCCTGCTGCCACACTTTCATCACAAAGGCAGCTGATTACACAGAAACGATGGTCTTTGATTGCACAGCTTTTACCTGCTCGAGTGTTTTACTGAAACTTCAAACTGAATCTGTTATTTTTTTTACGAGTTCTTAAGCTGTGAGAAATGTAAAAATCACAATCAAGTTCTGACTTTTCCTTCTTTCTGTTAGAATAACTGATGTTTAAGTTGTTAGTATTCCTACATGTACTATCACACCCCTGCAAATGATACAAAATGCAGCAGCACGACTGGTCTTCCTAAACCTTCCTAAAAGAGCACGTCACTCCACTGTTCATCTCCTTACACTGGCTCACAGTTACTGCTCGCATCAAATTTAAAACTCTGCTGCTCGCTTACAAAACAGCGACAAAAATGTCTCCTCCTTACTTTAACTCTCTCATCCAGGTCTACACTCCCTCCCGCCCACTACGCTCTGCCAATGAAAGGCGTCTGATCCAACCTTCATAACAGGGTCCTAAGTCTCTGACTAGACTCTTCTCCTCTGTCGCCCCCCGGTGGTGGAATGAACTTCCAAACTCCATGTGATCTGCAGAATCCCTCTGTACCTTTAAGAAAAAGCTAAAGACCCAGCTCTTTCATGAATATCTTCTAACTTAATGATGATGGTCTGGATATTATTGATGATGATGATGGTAATGACGATGGTTTTTGTTTGATAACGACGACTTATAAGATGATTTCTATACTGATCAGAGCTCTCAAGAACTGCCGTCAATGTTGTGCTTTGCCTCTGGTCACTTCCTGTCAGCACCTGTGTGTCCAATCGGACTTAAAGCTGATCGTTTGCTCTAACTGACATTGTTCCCTTTTTTCTAGATTCTTGCTTGTGTTGTACTTACTCTCGGATGTACGTCGCTTTGGATAAAAGCGTCTGCTAAGTGAATTGTAGAATTGTAGTATAACTAAAGGCAATGTCAGTTATACTGCGATCTAGAAACCAGAAGCAGATGCAACACCGAGGGCCACTGCCACTCTGCAGGCTCGGCATCAGATTGAATGACACTCATCGGGTGCTCTGGCTGATTTTAAGCACCCCTGCAGATGCTGAGGGAGGGTGAGAGAGAGAGAGAGAGAGAGAAAGGGTGAGAGAGTGAGAGATGTGCTCTGGCAGGGACAACAGAGGAGGGTTTGTGTCTCCGAGGAGTGGAGGGCAGAAGAATCTCCACGCAGGGCTGAAATCTGTGGAATCTGCTGAACACACACACAAGCTGAAGGGAAACTGCAGACCAAGTAGTCATCAGACGTGTGTGTGTGTGTGTGTGTGTGTGTGTGTTTGCTCTTCTTTCTGCAACACACAGTCAAATAACTTGGCATGAACGACTCTGACATGAGTCCTCCATGAAGTGACGCAGCTGTCAGTTACATGAGCACCATCACAAGCACAACTGCAGGACATATCTCTGAACGTCTTCACTTATAAACAGACACATACTGACCAGCTTTATCTGCTCCTACTGTCTTAATAAAAGCATCATCGACCTATCAAAGTCACCGTTCTCTGCAGCGTGAGACGTTCCACCCTCAGCAGTAGGTCGGCGTTTTCTGGATGAACTTACTCTTTCTGTGACACAGAGTTTCCTCCGAGCAGGAAGTGTGTAACAGGAACTGTTGACACATCTTCCCTCAATCTGCTTCCCTCCGTGCAGCCTCAACTTCCTGACATGAAAGAGAAATCCATATATACAACAACACACCCAAGATGAGCTCAAAGAAGACACACGGGCAAAAACCACGATGGGAAAAGTGTCTTTCATGACGCAGCGTGCAAAGGACGAGGCGACAACAATAAACACTCTATAAGACAAACACTGAACGAGCTAACAAACCAGGAGGGGTGAGCACAGACTCAGATAGCTGCTAATGTTGCTAACATGTAAATAAAGTAAAGTTCTAATGTGACTGGTTGTAAAAGGTGGAGCTCAGACTTGATGGACAGTCTGTTAGTTCAATAAAGCTCACAGAGAGACCGATTATTAGTCTGATATTCAACAGCACAAACACGGCCCAGAGGTCAAAGGTCAGAGACTGAATCAGCTGAGGTGACACCTAGCAGACAGCTAGCAGCTCCCACCTGTCACTCTGTGAATGACGGTCATGTTTGTCTGATGTCTCCTCCTGTTAAGCCTCTTTCAGTAACGTTTAGGTTTTTTTTTTAAATCTCTGCTGTAAAGACTTCTGAGGTCTTTTGCTGCTCCCACCAGGTGATGGCTTTGAATAACAATGACTCCAAAACAAAACCCAGGGCCGTGTTAATATTCTACAAAACACCTCTCACACGGCCGCCTCACAAAGCATCACAAGCATCCTTCTCCAGCTCACGTCTATCTCTGTTGTTTTTTAAAGAGCTCCCAGGTCCCACACCCACAGCCGGATCTAACCCTGCAGCAGGAAAAAGTTTCTGTTCTTCCTCAGGAAGCTGAGATAACCTGCAGATAAGATAACACGGTTCCACTTTCAGGCCTCTGGTGACTGAAGAAAGTCCTCCTGTGAGTCCAGAATACGCTGAATATCTAAAATATGAATATACAATTATATTTGTGGATGATCTTCGCTTCTGTGAATGTGACAATTTCTATTTGATTAAAAGCCAAAACAAATATAAGATACATAACACAGAAACAAGATTAAGCAAAATGCTAACTAATGCACGCTAACCTGCTAACAATGATAATGATATAAGCTAATGTTTTGTACTGTATTGGATCCAGTAGATGTCGCCCTCTAGCTCCAGCATGAAACCAAAACAAACTGCTGTTAGGCCACGCCTCCTCCATACTGAAGCCTCCGCCCTCCTCCAGAGACACACCTCCACCCCCTCTCCACTCACATTCACACGAATGAGTTATGAAAAGGAACGTACCGTAATAAAGCACCATTAAGCGCGAGTGGCGGACAAAATTGTCCAGCTCGAGCTGCAATCACCTGTGGCCTGCATTGTTGTGTTAGCATGCTAATGTTAGCACACTTTAATTAGCCCGAGATGTTGGACAAGTTAAATCTGGACCTATAGGACGAGATTAAAATAATCATTGATGGTTGCCAAAGTCCGTAAAATAATCCAAAGGGGATCATTGATATCTGGAAACTTTTTTCAGTTCTGGAACAAAATGTTCGACCTTTGAACTCCCCCTCTGATGATTTTAAATGTCAGT